TGCAATATGATACCAAACTTGGTGAAGAATAGCGACAGCTTTAGGAAATGACTCTTGCCTTCTTGGGGTAAAAATTTAGACACTTGACTATGCATGGCGGGGTATGTATGTTCTGTGGTTTGAAGTACAAAAATGCAAATCTTTTTTTTGTTCTGTACAGCTGTACATGAGGATGAAACCTGAACAACTAGTGGTAGATATCAGCAATCATTATTAAAAATCCTCCTATTATTGTTCCCTTTCTTTGCTAAAATGACATTGATAGTGCTTGCAACTACTATAAATAAACTCCTTAATACTGTTTCTCCACTTCTTCCACGACCAAAAATGAATAAATGCTATTAGCATAATTCTTTCCGTCCATTTAGTCAGGCCTGTTAATGTTCCAAGTTCTTTGATTACATAATTCCCATTTTTGTTCATGAAATCACTGTATGCATTGATTTCAAGCAGATAAAGAGACTAGACTTAACTGCCAATATTGTCACAAGTCACAACAATACCATGGATGCTATCTAAAGAAAATAACTGTGACCTGCTGATCCATGTCATACTGATAAATTGTCTGTATTCCTCCATTTTTTTTCCCGGATACATTCTAGTTTTACGCTAAGAGTTACGACTAAAAGAAATAATAGGTCTATTGAAATAATCAGCAGCCCCTAAATGGCAGCTTCCCCAGATTCACAATCGTAAAAAGGGATTTCTTTGAATCAGACAGAATCAACCAAGTATAGATGTGGATAAAGGGAAAAGTTGGATAGGGCAAAGTACAAGTATAACTCCTCAAGTTAATCAATCTAAATCAAAGATTGTTTCAGAATACCAGTAATAACCTGTACACATCTACAGTTGATTTAGCAAAGGGGAAGAATTACATATGTATATTAATTGTTAAAATTGATTTAATAGGAGACTAGAAAAGAGAAACCGCCTAGGCATGAAGATGTTACCTCCACAACAAGCTGATAAACAGAACCCTCACAAAGTTGTTTCTAACAAAAATGCCATAACAGTCAAGCAGTAACTATCTTCCAAACAATCCCCTCAGTATTTTAAAATTTTCTAAAATTTAAACATCACCAGAGGACTCTGAGGGAGTCTAGCTCTGCCAGCAACAATAGCATGT